CCAACACATAAAATTAAAATCCAGGCTTTAGGCTAACACAAAGCAGCTAAAAAGTACCCCAGTCCCAAGACAAACATCTATGTGATACTTTATCACTCTGTATTCACATCTTCTTTTGTGGTTTCTTGCCTCTGAGGAATTCCCTCACTTATCAGCTCAATCATTAATTGAGAAAGATTAAATAATCTCTGCAGCATTTTAAGGCATTTCTCTGATCTTTGTTCAGTGATATGGCTCTGGTTTCTACTTTTTTTTTTAATAAGATTTTATTTATTTATCTTTAGAGGAGAAAGGAAGGAGAGAGGGAAAGAAATATCAATGTATGGTTGCCTCTCCTGAGTCCCCTGCTGGGAACTGGCCTGCAACCCAGGCATGTGCCCTGACTGGGAATGGAACCGTGGTTATTTGGTTCAAAGGCTCACACTCAATCCACTGAGCTACACCAGCCAGGGCTCTGGTTTCTACTTTTATAAACTAGGAGATGAGAGTCATATGCTGAGTATGAAGGGGGAAGAAGATTGCTGGAAAGTGAAAAAAGCTTGAAGTGGTAGAATATGGAAAGTTAAATAATGAAGTATAATGAAGTACTAAATAATAACATGTTGATAGTATCAAGGAAAGTTCATTGGGAGAGATCACTTGATAAGACTTGATTGTCCCTGCTTATAAGGTAGTCCCATATTTAATATATATTAGCCATACAACCTTGGACAAGTTATACCCCATTTATTTCTACCTATGTCATGGGGATTGTGAAGACAAGTGTTATAAAGCACTTTGAAAATATTAAATCACCCAAAATGTAAGACATTGTAACCATGTCTTCTACCACAGAATTGTATGTCAACAAACTCTTACATCACAGATGATCTCAGGAAAAATAGGACCAAGTTAATGGATAAAACCCTTTAAGAGATTCAGACAAAATCACAATTACAGATAAAAACCAACACTGAACTAAACCACTATTTCAGTAAATAGTAACTGATTTCATGATGTAAGATGTATTTGTTTTACTGGCTTCTCTATTTAATACTGAAACCAAATTACCAAAGCTCTAAATACCATGGGCCATTTGCCATCAAATAAAAATAGTTTTGCTAAGCAAAATTCTACAATATATAAAGTGATTTCATTAAGATTTACCTATATCAATCAAAATTAAATTTATCTAATTAAACCAAGATAACCTAAGAGAATCTTAGTATTCGTACCATAAGCAATCTTTTAGGCAAAAAAATATAGAGATCGCAGAAACTACACAAATACTTTCCCTCTAGTGTTCATCAAAATTAATTCCCAAATTTTTAATGGCTAAATACTTTCCAGATTTTAGTCTTTTCAAGATTCTCCCTCAATAATATATTCCTCCATTGTTCTTGTTGCTATGAGAAAAAAATATGATGAAATAACTTATCTTTAAAGGAGTTTTCACCTTAGGTGGTGACCCTTTGGCACAGAGATTTTCAACCTTTTTCATTTCATGGCAGACATAAACTAATGACTAAAATTCTGTAGTACACCACAAAATATATTTTTTGCTGATAACAAAAAATAGGTATAATTTTGATTCATTCACACCAGATAGCTATTGTTGTGTTAGCCGTCATTTTTTTTAAAATTGGAAAATCTAAGGGAAAAGTGGTAAGTGCCCCTGACTAGTCAGGTGTTGCATATTCAAAAAATTCTTGCAGCATATCTGTTGAAAGTCTTTGGTGTAAGGTATCCATCCATGCTGTAATACCAACCTGCATATTAGTCACTTAGTAGCAGTCTTGGTTATCAGATTGACTGTGGCAGTTATCGGGGTGTAAAAGTTCAAGTTACTCTTATTTTACTGAATAATAGCCCCAAAATGCAAGAGTAGTGATGTTGGCAATTTGGATATTCCAAAGAAAGGCCATAATGTGACTCCTTTAAGTGAAAAGCTATGTATATATTGGAGAAAACATAGTATATATAGAGTTTGGTACTATCCATGGTTTCAGGCATCCACTTGGGGGTCTTGGAATGTATCTCTGTGGCAAACAGGGGCCCACTGAAATCTGTTTTAAAAACTAAAGTCTTCTATGCTAAAAGTACAAAAGTGTGAACTTTTTTCTGGTAAGGTAAAGTTCTATTGATAAGTCTGATTATTTCAGAAAGTGCTACTTTTATCTCAATTCTATTCAAGTACAGTCAACAACAACAAAAAGAGTGGTTCAGGCAGTCTTAACTTTTTGAAAACATAATGAGTTTTAGAGGAACCACCAATAATGTTCAAAGTAGTAATGGCTATTTTACCAACTTTATTTTTACACTGCTCTATTGTTCTTTGTAACTAAGTCTGTAAAGTTAGACTGTTTTTAATTAGTGAGAAGTGGATACAACAAATGATTTAAAGAGATCAACAGTAAGATAAAATTGGTATGTAATGAGACAGATAGTGAAGACAGAGTAATTTGGTAACCAAGGTGCACATCTATTCAAAACAGATATAGGACCTTTTGTTTAAAAAAATCAGCTGGTTTGTAAATATTTGTTACCACAGACTTTTCCTATTGCTCTGCTCACTGGGAATATGAATAACTCACTGAGAAAGCTTCATTAATTCAGAACGATCAGTGGAAAGTGTATTTTCAATACCTTGAAATTGATATAAAAATTTGAATTAAAATATTCTTTTAAATACAGATTCTTCTAGATTTTTTCCAATAAATAGGGAAATGATTTCTGTTAAAATACTTTTTTAAACAGGTTAAAAATTTGTTCTTTTACATATAGTGATGTGTCATAAAATTGATTTGATTATAAAAAGGCAAGCATAGACAAACAACCTACATTGTCTTTAATAGAGTACAAAAGGAAAAAGCTTTAGTCCAGTTTCCTTCCCAATTATATTTCCTAGGTTAATAGAGTTCTATTGCTTTTTAAAAATTACAATACACAAACAAGACTGATTTAACAGGAAGATTTTAGATATTTAAGTTCTACCTCACTAGCTAGGAATACCATCAATTAAAAATAAATCTGAAAACCCAATCTAGTTATTGTGTAGTTTATGCTGAAGAAGCATAGTTTTAAATTTTGAGCCTAATTATAAAGGCTTTTTCCCCCTATTGTGATAGTGTTTAGCTACTTTGTGTTTAACTCAGGGTGAAAGATAAGACTGGCAGAGAGCACAAGGGAACCATCTGGGGCACTGGAAATACTGTGTATCTTAAATTGGTGGTAGTAACATGAATGTATCCATATGTAAAATTTCACCTAGATGCACATTTAAGATTTGTGCACTTTATGTTATGTATATATCTTAAGAGTAGAGTGTTTAGCTAAATTATGAAATGCCCACCAACTATTTTACAGTGGATCATTAATATAATTTTTGTAAGTCCAAATGTATAGATAGGATAACTTATTTGTTGCTTATGGCAAAGGATTGCTAGTCATGTTCAGGTAAATTAACTATATCTGAAAATAGAGTAAAGCTTCCATGAAAGGAGGTCATTGGTATTATATCAGAAATGTCAGGAAGAATATATGTATCAGTTTAACTATAAAGGAGAGAAGTGTAATTAAAGTTTAAACAACTAGAAGATCAGAACATTGTCAAATAAGTGACGTGACTGTGGCATGATAATTTGATTTACAATTACCCATGCTTTTTATTTATGCTTCTCATTGTTTTTTAGTCATTGTATTGTTTGGACTTCCAAAGGGATGAGAAAGGAAAAGAATTCAAGTTCTGTTACTCATTTTAAACTGTTGTTTTTAGCATGCTAAAAAGCTAAAGTTATGACTGGATTTAAAAATTGTGCATTCTACTTCCTTTCCACTCAGCGAGAAAACAGTTAATTTATGTATGCAGGGAATATAAACACTGATTCTGCATCAAATGTTTTTACTTTTCCTGATAGCTATGTTAATTCTCATCACCTCCAAAAGCCTTTGAGAGGATTAGCTGCAGAGACCAATATTGTTCTATATTAGTATTAAGTATATGATGTCACCTTGTTTCCTCCTCTCCTCCAGAGATTTTTTTTTTTTTTTTGCAGGATGGGAGGGGGATACTTTTTGGACAATTCTCAGAATTCTATGGCTTAAATACCACTAGCTGACACACTTGACTGGCAACCTTACACTCCCAAACCTGTATGAAATGGGTCAAATACCTAAGCTCCACAGAACAATGCAATCCAACCAGTAATTCCTCATAAAAAAGAAAGGGGGTGTGATTAAGCTTCCAGCTATTAAGCAAGTTATTGCAAAAACAGTTCAGTGGTTTGTTTCTGCAATAGGCACAGGTTAAGCTAGTATTTTTCTCTTAATTAGCTCGAGAGAGAGAGAGAGAAACAGACAGACTAGGACGTAAGAAGCAGGAAAAATAGCCAAAGCACGAAGCAACTGGGGCAAACATCAAGGGCTTTACAGAGGTCTTCCAATTGACCCTCAGTATTGGTTATCGATTATTAACTCTGCTGGAGAACTATCGAACGGGATCTGTGTAAGGCTTATCGAGCCACAGGGAGGGGGATGCAGGAGGGAATATAAGCTGCTAATAAAAGAAACGCAGCAACAATAGCAGAGAAACAGCTCTGCCTGGTGACGTAATGGCTGGCAGCAGTCCAGCTTCAGCAGGGCTGCTGCTACCTCAGCATCCAACCTCTCGCAACACACAGTCCAGCTTCGGCAGAGCGACCGGGGCTCCCACTTCTTGCGATGGCAGCAACACCTTACCTTAGAGGGCTAGGACGCCGAACAAAGGGTCGTCTTGCTGCTTTAAGTTGTCACAACACACTCTCTCACTCACTCACCCCTCAAGTCCCTCAGTAACCGAGTCAATCGGCTCCTCAAGTTTAGGACGAGCACCCGGGCGCGCCCTCCAGGTATGCCTCAGTTTCCCCAGGCTGGTCTCTGGTCCGCCCATCACCGCCCCCCCCCGCCCCCCGTCCTCGGCGGGAGTTGATCACGGGGGCCCCCGCTCGCCCTCCTGGCCCCGCAAGCGGGTCCTGCCGCCTTACCTCCGCCAGGTAGAGGTTGAGGAGACAGAGCGTGGAGAACTGGAGACAGGAAGGGAAGCAGTAGAGCAGCCAGTGGGGGAAGAAGTGCAGGTGAGCGGGCGGCCGGAGCAGGGGTAGGGAGCCGCTGAGCGAGAAGGCGGCGGAGAAGAGGGTGGTCCTGAGCGCTGCCCACAGGAGACAGAGGAAGAGGCAGAGGCTCTGGTAACTCAGCCGCCGCTCGCGGTACAAAAGCAGCCTCCACAGCTGCAGGTAGGCAAAGGCGAAGAGCGCAGCGTAAAGCAGGGCGTGCAGGACGCTCAGCGCCAACTGCACGGAGCCCGGCACCACCGCGCCTGAGGCGGCAGCGACGGCGCCTTCGCCTGCGCCGCCCTCGCCCGGCGTCGAGGGCTCACGGCCGGCCGCGGGGGCGGCGGCGGCCACGGGACCCGGCACGGACACCCTCATGACGGGGCCTGGGGGACGGGCGTGGGAGCGCGGGAAGGAAGGGGCAGGGCTCGGAGCCGCCGTCGAGGAGGAGAAGGATTTGTGCCTTACCCCCCACCCACCCCAACCTTCCACCCCGAGAAGCGCCGTGACAGGACCCGGAGCCCCGCACAGAGCAGCCGCGGCTCCCCCGACCCCTCCTCCTCTCCCCGCCCCCCGGGGGGTCTCGGCTCCTCCTGCTGCGGCTTCGCTCGGTAGCTGCAAAAAACAACTCTCGGCTGGAGACAATCAGCTGAGAAACCCGAGCATTTGAGGCGCTCGCTCCGCACGGTGGGCTCGCGCGGATTGGGCCAGGCGGGCACGCCCCCTGCGCGCCGCGCTCGGACGTCCACGGGCCCCGGAACCCGTCGCTCCAGGACTCTAAGATCTGATTGGGCATTCACTGTCTCTGCTTTCTCCCTCCCCTGAACTCCCCACCCCCGCTGCTGATTGGCCTAGCTACTGCACGGCTCCCTGGCACCGGCGGGAGGACTGGATTGTGGCTTGTCACTTGGGACGGATTTCGCTCCGCCCACTGTGCTATCAATTGGTAGGAGAGGCAGCACGTAGGGAGCACGAGGAGAGGGAGGAGCCTTGGGTTGTTTTTTTTTTTTTGGCCCCTCTGGCAGATTCTACACAGTGGTGGCAGCCGGAGGCAGTTTTTTTAGCGGCTAGGCTTAGATGTTCGCCGGTGCGGGGCGAGCGGGTTGTGTGGAGCGAGGACCCGCCTTGAGTCTCTCCTTCACGTGGCGGGACCTGTCGGAAGCGCTGAAGCAGGTGGGTAGCAGTGCGGATCCTTGGGTCTAGGGGGATGTAGTCTCTGCCTGCAAGGATGGGGGTTGAGTCCAAGCATCTCTCCCCCAGCGAGGGCCGCACCGCTGAGCTCTGGAGAGTGGTTTAGGAGGGGCCTCACTTGGATTCTTCTGAGGGGCATTTTGCTTACTTCTTTCCCAGCGTGAGCGGCGAGAAAATCTCTGAGCCCTTGGAGGGGAGAGGGAATGGAATGAGGCTAAGGGTGAACCGAAGTTCTAAGGAAGACTTCTCTTCCTCGGGAACTGCCCCTTAAAGAGGAGTGGTATTAGGATGAGATACAGATCCAAGCGATATGATTAAGGGGAATGTGGCCCTTTGAAATGTAGAATTCGGAAAGATGCTCTCGGCATAAGTTTAGGGAAAAGGCAGAACTAGAACTCTGTTATTGATGAAGGTCTGCAGAGGAAGAAGTAGAATAGTCTGTGCCCCTAAAATCCCACATGTGTTCTTCAAACCTTCCTTCTGTCTGTGGTAAATGGTGGCGCTAGCAGTTCCTGGGGCTCATAGACACAAAATAAAAGCTTTGTTACTGCTGTAAATGAGTAAATAAATTTCCCAACGTGTATTGGACTAATATAACATTTGTTGACTTTGAGTGTGTGTGTGTGTTTGGTAATAAAATAAACAGAATAGTGCAAAGTAATGAGAAAATAATTCGTGTTTTTCTTAGAATGAGCCGCACACCACAGGTTCAGTATCTGGAAGACATGGGTGCATTTACTGGCACAGCCAAGATCCAGCCTTTCCTGACTCACTATCCTTCGCTCTAATGCTTTGCCCGAGAAGAGTGTTCATACCTTTTTTCCTAGCTAGTGATCCATAGGGAACTTTAAAGTCTGTTTTGTACTCCAGATTCTGGAACAGTAGTCCCTGCTGGCCCCAGATGCTGGTGGGTTTGGGGTTCTTTTATAGGCGTGTTAACAAACTGTGATAGATGTCGAGGCCTAGCACTGTTAGGTGGGTATCGGATGAAACGGCAGCTGAGCAGTTATGCGGTGCAGTCTACGTATGGTACAATTTGCTATAAAGAAGTTAACAGACCTATTCCAACAATGCTTTTGAAAAGGATCTCATGTTCATTAGAGTGTAATAAATTCACCTAATGGATTCCTAGAGCATGTGGTTAGGGCTGTACACAGTTCTACTTGAAAAGGGACAGAGTGCTCATGGCAACAGTGAGTTAACTAATTGCAGTTATGTGCTTAAGCACACAAATTAAGCATGAACTCAGAATTATGTGATTTGAGGCACTTGGCAAAATCAGTAGACCCTCCTGTTCTCTGGCATGTTCATTGTTTTTTATCTTCCATAATCCATGAGGTGCAAATTTTAGGTCATGAATAGATTTTCTCCATGAAGGTGTTTTTCTTTTTTTGCCTACATTCTCAAATGATAGTTAACCTCTGGATAGTAGTCATACTAGTTTTAGGTCTTTGCTTGTAAGACTTTTTATTCCATTGTCATTGCAAGTCTGGATAGCCTTCTGTTTTCTCCTTTTGGGGGGTGTTTGTTGCAGGGTATGGATGGAGAGAAAGGATTTTGCCCCAGCTGTCTTGAAGGGTCTGTAAAATATATGCTGACACTGTTGACTCCTTTTATTGCCGCCTTTGGGTCTTAAATGATAAGCTGTCATGAGATATAATCAATGTTTTATTTGAGGCTAGTTCAGTGAGCAGGTTCTTTTCTACAGTAGCAGCGTTAAACTTATTTATGGTTTAGTAAGTAAGCTGATTTTTTGACAAAATACTCTTACAGAAACTTTGTAAGCATTAAGTGCCCCATTTGTTGCAAAGTATGAAACATGTCTTTCCCCAGAGAATGATGCCCACAGATTTGGTATAATTTATTTAATGTTTACAGTTGTTAATTTCCTCTTTTTCTTAAGAGGGAAAACCATTAGTTTTACAGTTAATCATAAGGCAAATTTAAGCCTATAAAGGGGAACTGAATCAAGGGTATTCTAGAAAAGCTTGTTGCTAGATATTTTAAAATTAGAAATGTGTCCAAATGCACAATGACTGGATATTGTTTCTAGGAGAGCAGATTGCTTCAGTACAATGGTTTTTCAAACATTTAAAGCCAAACTGTTTACCAAGTATTATATGCTGGACCCAATCCCAGAATGGGATTGCTCTAGCTAAAGAGGACCACCAGCTGCTCCATCTGCCCAGAGAACATATGAAGGAAAATCCTTGCCCCCTTCTCTCACTAGCAAGAATGTGTTTTTCCCTTGAAGTACTTCTTCCTCATTTCCCTGTAGGGGCTCTCTTAGTATTTTGGTGCCAAACAAAAACTTTTGTTACCCTTAAGCATTTTATTTGCAACTGTGTGAAATTGCTATAAAAGCTTCTAAACATTTACACTGGATTTCTGTGTTTACCTTATTATCATAGACCAGTAACAGATAGTTCATATTCTGGAACATGCTCTAGAGCATAGTTCTCCATGGACCTTGGCTTTGCCCTACAAGAGGTCCCTTTCATTTTTTTATTCTTTTAAAAAATATATTTTATGGACTATGCTATTACAGTTGTCCCATTTCCCCCCTTCATTCCCCTCCACCCTGCACACCCTCTCCCACCCACATTCCCCCCTCTTTAGCTCATGTCCATGTGTCATAAGTTCTTTAGCTTCTACATTTCCCATACTATTCTTGCCCGCCCCCTGTCTATTTTCTACCTACCATCTATGCTTCTTATTCTCTGTACATTTACCCCCTCTCTCCTCCTCCCATTCCCCTTTTGGTAACTATCCATGTGATTTCCATTCTGTGGTTCTGTTCCTGTTCTAGTTGTTTGCTTAGTTTGCTTTTGTTTTAGGTGTGGTTGTTAATAACTGTGAGTTTGCTGTCTTTTCACTGTTCATCTTTTTTATCTTCTTTTTCTTAGATAAGTCCCTTTAACATTTCATATAGTAAGGGCTTGGTGATGATGAACTCCTTGAACTTGATCTTACCTGAGAAGCATTTTATCTGCTCCTCCATTCTAAATGAAAGCTCTGCTGGGTAGAGCAATCTTGGTTGTAGGTCTTTGGATTTAATGTCTTGGAATGCCTCTTTCCAGCCCCTTCTTGCCTGCAAGGTCTCTTTTGAGAAATCCGCTGACAGTCTGATGGGAGCTCCTTTGTAGGTGACTTTGTCCCCCATCTCTTGCTGCTTCTAGGATTCTCTCCTTCATTTTAATCTTGGGTAATTATGATGTGCCTTGGTGTGTTCCTCTCTGGGTCCAACTTCTTTGGGACTCTGAGCTTCCTGGACTTCCTCCTTTTCCAGAAGGAAGGAGGAAGTCTATTTCCTTTTCCAGAAGTGGGGGAAGTTCTCCTTTATTATTTGTTCAAATAAGTTTTCCACTTGTTGCTATTCCTCTTCACCTTCTGGTACCCCTATAATTCAGATGTTGGAACATTTAAAGATGTCCCGGAGGTTCCTAAGTCTCTCCTTATTTTTTTAAATTCTTGTTTCTTCCTTCTTTTTTGTTTGGTTGTTTCTTTTTTCTGTCTGGTCCACTCCATTGATTTGAGGTCCAGTTTTTTTCCCATCACTATTGGTTCCCTGTACATTTTCCTTTATTTCACTTAGCGTAGCCTTCATTTTTTCATCTAATTGACGACCAAATTCAACAAATTCTGTGAGCATCCTGATCACCAGTGCTTTGAACTATGCATCTGATAAGTTGGCTGTCTCTTGGTCACATAGTTGTATTTGCTCTGGAGCTTTGATCTGTTCTTCCATTTGGGCCATTTTTCTTTGTCTTGTTGGACCTGTTATGTATGAGAGGCAGAGCCTAAGGTGTTCACTAGGGCGGGGCCACCCAGGTTGCTGGGTTGTGACGCTGTATGTGGGGGCGGGTCAGAGAGGGGTAATGGCATTTGTTCCACGCTCTCAGATTTTGGCTTTAATTCTTGTTGCTGGGGCCCTAGCCTGTGTGGTCTGTGTCACTGCTTGCTCCTTGGCCTGGTTTACCTGAGTGTGAATGTATGACCGCAGTCAGCCAGCCACCTTGTGCCCCCACTGGGTCTGCCCATTGCCACCCTACACCTGGGATCTGCCAACCGCTGCCTGTGTGCCTGTGTTGGTCCGGCTTCTTTTTCCTGTTGGACCCTGCTTTGCCAGCCGCTGACTCCACCCCTCTTACCCTTCTGGCTGAATGGTTCGTTGTTGTCAGACTTCCGCACAGTTTAATTTTCTGTGTTTTAGCTGCATTTTTGTTACTAAAACTTTGTTGTCTTTAAACTTGGTTGTATGAGGAGGCACAGTGTTTCCACCTACACCTCCATCTTGGCCAAAAATTGAGTACCTTTCTTATTATACCCAACCAACAGCAACTATCACACAGTACTCATCTTCCCTTTTCTAGCCTTTTCTCTTAGGGCTATAAATAAGTACTTTAGCCACCTAGGTACATGCTCATAAATTCATTAGGTACATGCCCCTTTCGAATTATTGTAGTGACAGTTTCATCAGATGTTTTGTCACCCCTTAATGTGGATCATTTGCTGAGCTCATATCTCTGATAAGTTTTCTTGGGAAAAAAGTTTTCTTGATTAGGCCCTTGCTGCTTAATCTCTGATGTAGTATTTTAGAGTTCTTGTTAAGGCAGCATCTCATTTCTAGTTTTATACCCGTGAAGATAAATTAAATTGTTCTGCAATTATAATTCCTCAAATCTCAGTGGCTTAAGACAACAAGGTTTATTTCTTCTGCATCACATGCTTATTGCATGTCAGCTACAGGCTCTCTTTGTTGCATTCATATGTTGTTGATAAACGTGTGAAACTACATTCATAAACAGGAACTTAAGTTGATAAATAGCCACTATTTGAGCATTTTTAGTGCCTGTGACAGAAGAAAATAAAGCCTGGTATATTACACAGTAGCTGTTAAAACTATTGCTTAAAAGAGACATACCACTTTCGCTTAGAATAAGTCACATGGTGGCCTCAGACTTCACTGGAAGTGGGTGTTTTCTTTCCCCACCACTCACCATCCACACTTACCTTTTTAAGATCTTTTTATGAGGAGACCATGTCCCTGGGAAAATGCAGTTTATTCATGTGAAATGAACAGTCTTCAGTGGCCCCATGGGGTAGATTGGATTGATAAGAGTAGAAGCTGTAAAATATTTCATTACATAGAAGTAATTTTAAAAATCAAAGTGAAAGGTACACTGTTTAAAGAGTCAGATCTTTTGATAGGGTTTCAAAAGCCCCTTTGGTATCTTCCCCTCTTCAATTTATTGTTCCTTAAAGGCAATTACTTTTAACTGCTCCCTGTTTCTTTTGGCATTGATATTCTTGTTTCCAATAAACTTGGCTTTTTGGTCTTGTGAAAGATGAACATTTATCTCTCTTTTATCTCCTTTTTCACCCTGACTGCATGATCCCTTATTTTCTGTCTCCCCATCTACTCAACTGTGGTTGTCATAGGTTTGGTTAATTTATCATTCAGTATTTATTTTATTATGACCATGTAAACTCTATTTCTAGCTGACCTATGCAATATTCTCTGCTTTAAGTCATTTAGTAAATAATCAAACTTATCAAAGATGGAACAAACTGCAGAAGTTACTATTAAGTTTCTATTTCCAAAAAATGTAAGCAAAACCACTAAAAATCTCTAACCAACCAAATGCAAAGTACTTTGAAATGTATAATCTCATTTGATTAATGAGAGAGATGTGGGAAAGTATTGAAGTCTTGAATGTACAGTTAGAACTTTTGGTGTTACAAAATACATTCTTATGTTAACCCCAATGTTCAATTTAGTGTTGAAATAATTGAATTGTAACCACAAAGACAGGAAAAGTGATACTTTATATTTGAATCTTACAATTGTACTTTAAATATTTTACCTTTTAATTAGGTTGGAATTATTTCATTGGTAAAAGATTTTATATAGTTATTCTCTTAGGTTCAAGATATGTGCATTTTCTCCGCCCCCAGAATATAAATAAAATCTTGTATGACCTATTTTTAAACCATTCCTATTAATATAAAGTGGCTTTAAAATATGTTGGCATAAAATGGCTATAATGTATAATCAATTTTAATGTCAAGTGTATCCCTTAATTATATCATTAAAATTACTTTTTTATATACCTCTCACAGTTCTCACTCATCATTCTACTTGAGTTTTTGAACTCTAAGGGGCTTATTATTAAAAATTGATGGTAAATTAATTCACTGTTTGATATTAATTAGCTGTAATGAAAAGAATATCAGGAAGTAATCACAAGTGATTAGCTCCTTTTTTGATATACCCACTCCTTAGGGAGAGATTTTCTATGCTTATTGGTAATATTGAAAAAACAGAGTAAATATCCAATTTAATATCATTTTTTCTAATTTTTTAATTCTTTTATTATTTACTGAAAAACTCTACCCCTATGTTTATGGGTAATTTTTGTTTCTCCTCCCCTCACACAGCTGTCTCTTGTTTTAAGATAGTGATTGTTTGTTTGAAAAGAAATTAAAACAAAATTCTCACCTGTACCTGTGGGCATATGTTTACCTTCTAGAAGTATATTTTTATATTATGCAAATTTTCCTAACTATATTCTTTTAAACATAATAATATAGATTGTTAGTAGAGAAGCTTCCTGAAAGAAGAAATTGTTTAAGAGAAACATGAAAGTAGCAAAACAGAATAGAATTGAAAGCAGATGTGGAGGACAATGTGGAAGTAAGCGCAGCATGAAAGATGAGAGGACAATAATCTAGAACAAATCTGAGATCAGAAAACAGAACTGAATTGAAAAGATATTTGAATTTCTAAGTTGTATGAATAAATCAAAGTCTTAAGCATTAAAACTGTGTAATAAGAAAATGTTCATAAGTAGCTTTAATAACTATTTTCTAGGGACTTTAAAGTAAAAAAATGTAAACATAGTAGATAAATATGCATATTTTGAATGTGTCATTCCCATGTTAATGGTATTAAATAGTTATTTGTGTATTAATTATAAATATACTCCCAGTAGAGAAGGGTAAAATGGGCAATTTAAAAAACAAATTGGATGTTTGAGAATAAATTTTAGCGCTTTTAAAAATGACACTTAGCTTCACATATTCTAGAAACTACCTATTAAACTTGAGATACTTAGTATTGCATTTTCCTGACTTTTAGAAGTATCAAAAATCAATAGTGTTACCGAATCAATGTCATTACATATCATCCCCTCTCAAATTTTTACTAGAAAGAAATTAATAAAGTGCTGGGAAGATCAAACATATAAGCAATGCCTTATATTCTTTTTTGTATAGTTTAGTCATTTATTTAACAAATTCATTCAGCAAAACTTTGTTGAACCCCTACTCTTGCCAGGTATTGTCTGAGGCAACAGAGCACAACAGTGAACAAACGGACAAAATCTCCTGCTTATATACGACTACAGCTGATGATGTCTTTCAGTTTCAATGTACTTAGAATTGGCATCTCTTTTGTCATCATGTGTATTGTTTATAAGGCAGCAGTCAACTCTCTACCAGAACTGAGTCCTCAGCAATATTTCAGTACCTTGCAAGCAGGAAAAGCCTCCTTAGCTTATTTTTATCAAGCTGGTAAGTATTTTTTATATTCTGATTTTATGACATTTCTATTGCTATTTAATCAGTATGCTCACTGAGAGCTTATTGTTGGAATTAATAATTGTGCTCCAATGCTTTACTACAATATGCCTGCCTGCCTCAGTTTAAATCCTGATTCTGCCACTTGACCTGTTGTATGACCTTGGTCAAGTCTTTTTTGTCATTCATAATGAGGAAATAGTACTTGCTTTATAATTTGTTGTGAGGATAAGGATAAGGATAAGTGACTTTACTCATGTACTAATCCATACTAAATTCTAGATAAAAAGGAACTATTAAGATAATAGCATCTAAAATTTACGTAGTCATTTCTGAAAGTATACTCTTTTATACTTTTAGCTTGTAAGTAATTTTAAAGTGTTTTTAAACTTTGAATGTAGTATCAGTGATGCTTTAGCTATACCATTAATTAAGATAAATTAACTAATGTAACTCTTAAACGTAACTGATAATTGTAATGGTCTCATTTAAGGCTTCATGCATAAAAAATGCTATTCTTGCAATTAGTAAGTGAACTAAATCCACATTTCTATTGGTTCCCTTATAATTATTATTTGAAAATTATATTTTAAAACCATTTTGAAAGTTTTATGTATGTATACATGTGGTTTTTTGTATATGGTATTAAACTTGGTAAAATAATGCCAAATATTAGGTTTAAATTCAATATTTATTTATCCTATTGTTTTATAAAGTTTTTTAAATTGCCTACAAAGTTAAAATATGTCATTATAAAGACATTATAAATAAGAATAATGAGGCTTTGGAAATAAGGCTATAAATATACTATAACTAGGTGTATTTAGTTACTGCTTATTTGTTGTTGTTGCATACTGGTTGGGCAAACTAATATATTTCTTTTTACTTATGCAGCTTTGGACTTTAATTTTAAGATTTTATCTTTTCTAAGGTGTAATTCGTTAAGCATTCATAAACCTTTTTTTATTTTAGATTCTTCAGGTACTTCTATATTTCTTGAAGAACTGAGTAAGGCTGTTAAACCTCTCCAAGACTATGGAATTTCTGTTGCAAAGGTAGAAAGATATTCATGTTAATAAATTATCAGTGACAGACATTTTACATTTGAATGACTACACTGAATATCTAAAAATGCTTATGTTGTTTCACTTCTTTTTCCAAACTGTAAAAAAAACAGTTGCTACCTTTTTTTTATAAGTGTAGACAGAAACACAAAAAAATAGTTCCAGATCAATTTAATTTTGTAAATTATTCTCTTGTGGCTTTGGTGTCATTTTTAGTCCTGTAGTTAGACTTTTATTTTGTTTTGCCTGACAAACATGTCACAATTCAATTATTTATTAAATTTCTACTAGCACAAATGGAGGTACCAAAATTGAGGTAACTGAAGTACTTTTTCTTTTCTATTATAAGTTTTTAGAATTTTTATGCTGTAGTTTCATTTGTTTTTAGAAAAAGGTTAAAATAACCTAACAAAATTATATATTCTTTTCTCAAAAAATTTTCAAACTTGCCATGGAAAATTTCCATAGGCATCGTGGATTAGATAGCTACACGAGCCTTTTACTTAGTTTAAATTTAGAATTGGTACCTTAGAAAACTGAATAGGAAGTAACCCAGGGGTCATTAAATTTTTTCAGATTAGTGTGTACCTAACTTTCTGTTGTCGACATAAGAAATGTCCAAACCTGTAGAGAATATTTATAAGAGCTTATTTGAGCCAAACTGACAACATACCCTATGGAACAAGATTTCAAATGATCTGGAGGATAACAGTTTCCTTTATGCATTTGAAATTGCGGGAATTTTAAGATGATTACATGGAGATGGGAGAAAGCAAGGCCAGGACTGGATTATAGGATAGTTATTATGTGGTCTTAGCACTTTAAAAGGAGGGATCTGAAAGGGTGTCATATTAACATCAAAGTATGCTAACCTGGGCACACAGAAACAAAGATGAGGCTTGCTTAAGGCAAAGATAAGCCTTTTACTAAAGTTATTTGCCTGGGGCATGATTACTCATCATGACTTCCCCAGTTAGGAATTTATGATCAGTTTGTCCTATGAGGTTACTTTCCATACAATTCCTTTTACTTCTACACTTTGTGTACATCTATTTCTTGGTTCACTAGCCTTCCTTTTCCAAGAGATGGTTGTTGTCCCTCTTAGTCTCTGCAGCTAGTTCCCAGGGCAAGAAGCACAAAGTTTAACTAACCTTGCCTATTAAAAGGATATTGTTTCCTCTGCCCATAGGACACTTCTGACACCAAATGTGTGAGTTTTCCATACCAGGCAATTCTGACACTAACTGCCCAGAGTTAGTACAGACCCCACAGGTTAAGGGTTCAGTGTTATAAGACCACCTGTCACTTCATTCACCTGTTACAAGTAGTGGGTCTCCAGGTTACCTACAATTGACTTCTATAGGACTTGCCTACAAATTGGGTGTTCTCACCTTCCCCTCCTAAGATTTGATAATTTGCTGTAATGGCTCACAGAACTCAGGGAAACTCGTTACTTGCTATTATTGGTTTATCATAAAGGCTACCTCAGCAACTGCCAAGTGGAAGAGATGCATAGGGTGAGGTCAGCAAGTCGCAAGCCTCCATCCTTGTGTAGTTTGGGGTGTGTCATTCTCAGATTTGGATGGCGTTCATCAACCCCGAAGCTCTCTAAATCTTATTTGGAGTTGTGTGGAGGTTGCCTTATGGAGGTATGACAGATTAAATCATTGGCCATTGGTGATTAACAATCTTCAGTGTGGAGGATGGGAGGTGGGGTTGAAAGTTCCAGCCCTCTTAATGATTGTTCTTTCTGACAACCAGACTGTATCCTGAAGCTATATAGGAGCCTCCAGCCAGCAGTCATCTCTTTAGCATAAAAAAAGACAACTCAGGGGTTTTAGAAGGTCCTATATCAGAAACTGGAGTTAAAGGCCAAATATTAGAGGCCCAAATAAAGACCAAAATGCTTCTAGTATTCCTGTCACTCAGGAAATTACAAGGGTTTTAGAAACTTTGTGTCAAGAACCGGGGACGGAAACCAAATACATACTTTTTATGTTATGGTTGTATACCTTACAAAAATAATTCAATTCTGTTTGTATAGAGGTGTCAGCTAACTTTGAACAACTGATTACACTCTAGAATGATAATGGTACTCATCTCTGAGGAGATCTGAATAACATTTTAAACCGAAATTTAGAAATTAAATAATATGTACATACGATAATCAAAAAGGATAATTGTGTTGTATAACTAGTAGTTATATATCTAATAACTGGTGTAGAATATTGAGGTTCATACCCGGGGTATCTTTATGAACTAACTGAACTTGATTTTATGGTTGAGGATGCCAAACTATATGGAAGGTAGACTGGTGAATAAGATAGACCTATATTGAGTATCTAGCTCGGTCCCTTGCATATAACAGATACTCTGTAAATGTATATGAGATTAAAATTTGCTTAGTAATATTTAGGCTATTGAACAGAAAGATGCCTAAGACCCATTCTATTTCTTTGGATACTTTATATTCTAAATAGGGAGGATGAAAGACATTCACAAATTATTTTAGTAACTAGCAGAACCCAATTTTAATGTGATGCAAATAAAATGCCATAGTAGTTAAAGGGAAAGAGAGCGCATATCTGATTGTTGGGGTGGAAGGTCATGTATGGTATTGGGAAAAGACTACCCAAATACTAGAATTTTGATATTATCTTCAAAAGTTAAGATTTCAGGAGGCAGAGATAGATGAAGAAAACACTAATGTAAATGGATTAAATGTTCCAATTAACACAAAGATTGTCAAGCTGTGTACAATAACCAAGCCCAACTGTATGCCATTTAGAAATGCATCTTTAAAGTGTTCAGAAATTTCCAAAACAAATGAAGGAAAAAGATATGCCATGCCAGTGATAATTAAAAGAAGGCTGGTAACGCAGTATTACTATATCAAGGTAGATTTTAAAATAAAAACACTTTGAGTCATCCTTGACTTGTTGTTCTATCATAACCAATCCATCAATAAGTCCTTTAGGTTCCACTATCAAAACTTTCCAACTCTGACCACTTCCTGTACCTTCGCTCTTACTCCTCCCTTGTCCAAACTATCATTTCTCATCTGGGAAACCACAGTAGCCTTCTAATAATTGGCCTTTCTCCTTTCACTTTTGTCAACTAAACTCTTCTCTGCATGTAGGTGAGATGTGTCAGATTACGTTGCTACCCTTTCAGAAAGGCTTCCCATTACAGTTATGATACAATCTTGTGAACACTGGCTTCCTCCCTAATCTCGTTTTCAGTTCCTCCACTTTCCTCAGTTTGTTCTTGACACATAATGGTCATCTTTCTGTTACCTGAACCCGATGTGTTATTTCCACAAGACCCTTGCAGGTATTTCCCCACTGTGCTTAGAACTCGTGTCTTCCACGTATTTTTATATTTGTATGTTTCACTCCATTACTTCAGTTGTTTGTGTAAATGTCACCCCCTCAGAGAAGCTTTCCTGGCTTCCTAAAATTCTTTAATATTTTAATAACATTTAACATTATATATTACTTAATTTTTTATATTATCTGTCTCTATTTTTAGAATGTGAGTTCTGAAGATAAAGTGTTTTTTTTTTATTTGGAACTTAGTTGTACCCCCAGTGACTAGAACAGTGACTAAAATATGGTAGGTATTCAAATATATATTGAATGGATAAATGAACAAATCTATTGTCATAATGCCAACCATTCATTATCCTCTGACTTTTAAAATTACATACACTAAAATTTAGGGGTTTTTTGGTTATGACTATACTATGACTTTTAATTCTAATTCTCTATTTCTAACATCCTTTCTGAGTATCAGTTCTCCTTTTGTAGCTTTTCTTTAAAAACAAATGTAGCTTCCCTAATTGTTATTCTGATTCCTCAAACTCTCCTAAAATTAAATTGCATATCAAAAACAACAAAAACTCCTCTAAAAAACCCAAAGGTACAAAATCTAAAACGAAGTAACAATTCTTTTAGCCTCTGTTTTGGTAAGTTGCATTGGTGGCTGTCTGTTTTCCCCTTCTAGTAATCTCTTCATTCTTATCTCATTCCTTCCTGACCTCTATTTCATGCTGCATGTACATGCTCAATTTTCTCCCTAATTTTACTTAGTGTATTTGTGAAAAGTCTTTTGAATCTTTTTGTTCTTTTCTGTTTCACTTCACATTTCAGTCATCCTTAACCTATACTGATGGGATATTCTTTTAACCTCCCTCCTTATCTTTGTGCTCTGATGCCTTTCAATTTATCTTCATGTTGCTACCAGGATTGTCCTTATACTTTTAACATAGAGTCCTGATTGTAAGCTGTTTGTAAGCTGATCAAGGGCTGTTATGGCTGCTGTGACATCATCAGGGACTTAGGTTCATTCTTTCTGAGGCACCATCCTTAGCAAGGGTTTCTTCTTTAAAGAGGCCTCAGGATCCCTGATTACTGCTGGTGTTGTAGCTATCGCATCTGTTTCGTCAGGAAGAAGTGGGAAGAATAAGTGTATCAGCCAGCCCCCTTTTAGGAGTCTTCTAAGAATTCCAGTCGACTGACTTCTCCTAACACCGGTTACCCATCCTTGGCTGTTGGGAGTCTGGGAAAGTCTTTGAATGGGGAATTTGCTTTTAGTGAAGTTCCGTCAGTAAAACCAAAGGGGAGGATGGATTTTGGATGAGAAACCACCACTGTCTGTTATCCACGTGTGCCCGCTGTTGAGATGGTTTTATGGTTCCAGCTTACCACTCACTGCTGTGCTTCCTAGCTTTTCTTCATGATTTTTGTCCTGCCTTAGTTGTTTCCTTCCTTTTCGACCTGGTTACCTTCTACTTCTCTCATAAAAGTGAGTTAAATGTAAACTCTTAGGTATAAGTAAATATTACTATTAGGCGTAGAAACAGGTCCTTTTCCTGGGTTACCTCAAGCACTCGAGTAAATGAGCAATTATGGGATTCAAATCAGAAAGAAAAGTAAAATAAAAAATATGATATGGAGACAAAATTATAATATTTAATTTTATTTCTTGTTTCCCAAAGCAAGAAAATTCACCTTTTGATATACTCTAAATCTTAAATGTAATCTTTTAAAGGTCAATTGTATCAAAGAAGAAATATCAAGATACTGTGGAAAAGAAAAGGATTTGATGAAAGCATATTTATTCAGGTAAACTATTATTTTGGACAAATATAAAACTATGCTTCTAGAATATGCAAGTATATAAAATATCACTAATCCAGAATAAAGTTGTATGCACTGGGGGTCATATGATGCTTAGCAAAAAGTCCAAGTATTAGATTTGTTACCTGTACTTTGACTCCCTTGTCTATAAAATAAGAATAATATCTACCTCACAGGGTTGTTTTTATTTTAGGATTTTATTTATTTACCTTTTAGAGGGGAAAGGAAGGAGACAGGGAGAGAAATATCAATGTATGGTTGTCTCTCATGCGTCCCCAGCTGGGAACTGGCCTGCAACCCAGGCATGTGCCCTGACTGGGAATCGAACCTCGATCCTTTGGTTCACAGACCCGCGCTCAATCCGCTGAGCTACACCAGCCACGGCAGGGTTGTTTTACATATTACATGAAAGTCTTATGTAAATTCCTATTACAAATGCCCGGTAAGTAAACACTAAGAAAATTCAGTGTTTAAGTGGATGTGTCAGGTCATATTCTGATGTGAAACAAATGTACTTTATTTTCAAGGGATCTGCCAATGTCCAGGTTACAGATTCCAGGGTACTTGGGTCTGCCAACTTATCTGAGGTTTCTCAAAATCTTTCCTCAAACTCTTAGGATTTGACCTAGGAAATGGGGAGAGATCCTGTCTCCTCAGAGACCTGCTGCTGAGGACATTTCTTTCTCCTACTTGTCTCCTTCCCAACACAATTTGGAGAATCTGTGTGTATGCAACAGGGACGTTGATAGGAAGCCCTGTTTATACTTTTTTTCTTCTGGTCTTTTTGCTAGGTCCAGGGTCTAAGCTTTTCAAAGTTGACACTGTTATTGAGTCTGTATTCAGTAAGCATTTGAGTGTATATTATGGCCAGCACTTGGGGATGTGAATGGGATAATGGATAAGACATAGGCTCTAACATTACAGCCTAGAATATCTGAGGAACAAGTAAATTGAATGCTAAGGAAATATTTCTGTAACACTTTTCAAACTTTTTACAGGGGCAACATACTACTCAGAGAATTCCCTACTGATACCTTGTTTGATGTGAATGCCATCATTGCTCATGTTCTCTTGTAAGTATAGGGGGTACCATTCACTTCTTTACTTATTATTTATCTAGTGATTTCATTTTAGACAATCCCAATTAAAATATTTTAGAGTTTTAACATTATATTTGTAGGCATCAATTTCACATAAATTCCTGGTCTGTCTTCCCACATAGAGGATCTGACATTTCTTAAGTGGCAGATAATACAGAAACATATAGATACTCTGTATTAAAATAGTAGATAGCGCAGCATGACTACATGGGTCGTGCTATTGTATCTAGCATCCTTCTCATCCAGATGATTTTTTTTCTGGCATCTGTAGCTCTGTGCCTGCTCTGTAAGTACAGAAACAGTTCAAAAAGTCCCAGAACATACCTGCATGTTTTTTTGAGAGAGAGTAAGTGAATTTAATTTCATTTCCCTGGTATGGAATCTTTAAGCCTGGGAGTCAGGCCTGTCTGAGGTCCATTCATGCACTTCACCTCTGGATAAAGTCTAGTTATTCTCTTTAATGAAAAAGCTAGAAACTATGACTTGTTAAGGACATGAATTTATATGGCCTTTCCTGATTTAACATTATTGTAGGTTTGTTTCCAACTAAGACCTTTGCTGACATTGACTTTCTTTGTCTTCTGCTTGGCTTCCCACTTCCTTCTCTTCTCTGACTGGATTCCCAGAAAAATTGGGTGAAAGTTAAATGACAGAAAACTTAAAACATATTGGTGAAAAGTCGTGTTTATCACTTTGAAAATGGATACTTTGAAATGTTGCAGTACTAACAGTATATTACTGAAAGGCCTTTAGAAAAGATCCTGACAGTCAAGGATCCTGAGGCCTATAGAGTGAGAAGCCAATTCTAAGGAATGAAAGGTGCCTTTTGAAGAAGGAATTCCAAAGAGCTATTGGACTGTCTTAGGAGCCCTTTCCTGGGTTAGAGAAGGGGTGGCTGTCCTGAGGTGGGGGTTGATCATAAAAGGCTTAGCAGAAAGTCCAAGTAACAGATATGATACGTGTTGTACAGTGGAAACCTGATGCCTGTCTTTGACCCAGAAGGAACAAAGAAGATTCTTTGAGGGATGGGGGAAGGGTGATTAAGATCGTCTTTGACAAGTCTGACAGCAAATCCTGGAGCAGCATGTCCACCTTCGACAACCTGATGATAAGGTGGTTTTGAAACAGTCGAGCCTTAGATGTGGAGTGGCTCTCAGTGCTGGGGACCCTGTTCTCTGAACTGGCTAGCCTGTGGAGCTTGCGTCATGCAGTCCTGTTTTTTGTGCTCTGCTAATGCTGGTTTGTAGAACCCTAATTCCACAGAGAATATTCCCCTCATTCCTCCTGTGTGCCAGATACCTGTTAGGTACTGGGGATTCAAAACAGAATAGGATGTGGCTTCTGTTCTCTAGGAATATAGGGTTTTGTTGCAGAGACAGATAATATGAACAGAAAATATATATAGCAAGTAAAATAGAAGTATGTATAAGGGCTTATGGACCCACAGGGTAGGGAATAGTTCCTACTGGGTCTACAATGAGGGTGGATATTTACTAAGAACTCTTCCTGAAGGAGGTGGCATGGGGGGGATGATACTTAAAACATAAGTGGGCATTTGCTTGGTAAAGAAACAGAAAGTGGGTAAAGCAGTGGGAACTGTGTGAGCAATGGCATGGAGGTTAGGATAATCTGGAGAGGGTAGTGTTTTTTTAAGTTTGTTTTTAAAATGAGTTTATTTATTTGTTTTTAGAGAGAGGGGAGGGGAGGGAGAAAGAAAGGGAGAGAAACATCAATGTGTGGTTGCCTCTCACACCCCCTACCAGGGACCTGGTCTGTAACCCAGGAATGTGCCCTGGCTGGAATCGAACATGTGGCCCTTTGGTGCACAGGCCTGCACCCAATCCATTGAGCTACACCAGTCAGGGCATGGAAGGGGTAGATTTTACCAAGAGTATCAAATGTGAAGCAGGAGGTGAGGGCAGAGAGGGCAGGCATGGGGTCAGATGAAGGGAATCTTTGTTTACCATGTGAGAAGTTCAGGCTTTTGGGTGAGGAGTCCAGCTCCACATCAGAATCCCTGTGCCATCTTTTGAGCCCAACCGTAGGCAATTACAAGGTTTTGCCTGGCAGGCCTCATAGCGGGCAGGTACCTCCTTCACACCAGACTTGGTGCGCAGCCAGCACATTGCAGTTTTTTGTTTTGTTTTTAGAAAAAATGGAGGTCAACAACTGAGGTCTCTCCTTTCTCCCAATCCCTTAAGCCAAACATGCCCCTGTGTACATCTGCATTTTCAACTCAGTTTTCTCCATTTTGAAGCCTCATTATCAGAAACCTTGGCTGGGTACCTCATGGGTACTTCTGATAAGACCCTCTTATCTCTACTTTGACTCAGTCCCTTTCCACTCCTAGCCCTTCTTTGCTTCACCCCAGCCCACCAGTCCATAAAAAGCCAGGAGCCTTTTGTCGGGTGCTCCTTGGAATGCCATGATACCTTATATCTGTGCCTTGTGCACCTGACCCTCACCTGGGGCTGTTTCATGGCAGGGAAAGGAAAGAAACTTTCTGGAACTGATGCCTGTCTCTGCCTCTTACTTGCACTGACACAGTAAGTGATCGAAAGCTGGATTGTCACTTTCAGTTGGGCTTGCTGTCTTAATTGACAGTACAACACCAGATTGCTCAATAGAGGGTTGCTGGCAGGCAAGTGATGTGATTAAATTAGTACTAGAGAGCTCTTTCTGGTGGATGTGACAGTTTTGTGGGGTCCAAGAACCTGGAGAAACCAATTTCTGGCCAAGGTGGAGGCATAGGTAGATATACTTTTCCCTTGCACAACCAAAAGAAGGACAACAAATTTGAAAATAAAACCAGCTACAACTTCTGGAAAATCAAACTTCATGGAAGTGGACAACCAAGGAGTTAAAGAAGAAACATTCATTCAGACTGGCAGGACGGGTGGAGAAGAGCAGCTGGGACAGAGAGGACATGTGGCAAGGTGGCAGAGTACCAGGCAGGTGAGGAGGTGGCTGGCAGTTCCACATTTACATGCAGATAAACTGGAAGGAACAACTGGGGAGCAAGACTGTGCAACCCGAGGTTCCAGCATAGGACAAGAAAGCTTCAAAACCTCTGGCTGTAAAAACATGTGGGGGTTGCCATGGAAGGAGAAACTCCCAGTCTCATAGGACAGTTCATTGGAGAGACCCACAGGGTCCTAGAATGTACACAAGCCCACCCACCCTGGAATCAGCACCAGAAGGGCCCAATTTGCTTATGGGTAGCACAGGAAGTGACTGAAAGCCAACCAAGAGGCGAGCAAGCAATATTATTCCCTCTTGGACCCCTCCCCCACATACAGTGCCACAACACAGCAAAGTGGGTTGCCCCACACTGGTGCATACCTAAGGCTCTGCCCCTTACAACATAATAGGTGCACCGAGACAAAGAAAATGACCCAAGTGAAAAACAGATTAAAACTCCAAAAAAAGAACTAAGTGATAAAGAGATGGTCAGTCTATCAAATCCAGAGTTCAAAACACTGGCAATCAGGATGTTCACAGAAATGGTTGAGTGTGGTTGTAAAATGGAGAAAAAAGTGAAGGCTCTGCAAAGTGAAATAAAGAAAAATATACAGGGAACCAACAGTGAAGGGAAAGAAACTGGGACTCAAATCAATGATTTGGAGCAGAAGGAAGAAAACATTCAACTGGACCAGAACAAAGAAACAAGAATTAAAAAAAAAAAAATGAGGGGAGGCTTAGGAATCTCTGAGACAGCTTTGAATGTTCCAACATCCAAATCTTGGGGGTACCAGAAGGAGAAGATGAAGAGCAAGAAATTGAAAATTTATTTGAAAAAGTAATGAAGAAGAGCTTCCCCAATCTGGCAAAGGAAATAGACTTCAAGGAAGTTCAGAAAGCTCAGAGAGTTCCAAAGAAGTTGGACCCAAGGAGGAACACACCAAGGCACATCATCATTAAGTTACCTGAGATTAAAGATAAAGAGAGAATCTTAAAAGCAGCAAGAGAAAAGGAGACAGTTACCTGCAGAGGAGTTCCCATAAGACTAGCAGCTGATTTCTCAAGAGAAACCTTACAGGCAAGAAGGGGCTGGAAAGTATTCAGAATCATGAAACGCAAGGACCTATATCCAAGATTACTCTATCTAGCAAAATCATCATTTACAATGGAAGGTCAGTTAAAGTGCTTCCCAGATAAGGTCAAGTTAAAGAAGTTCATCATCCCCCAGCTCTTATTATATGAAATGTTAACTTATCTAAGAAAAAGAAGAAGATCAAAAATAGCAGTAAAATGACAATAAACTCACAACTATCAACGGCTGAACCTAAAAAAAACTAAGCAAACAACTAGAACAGGAATAGACTCACAGAAATGAAGATCACATGGAGGGTTATCAGTGGGGAGAGGGAAGGAAGAGAATGGGGTTAAAGGTACAGGGAATAAGAAGCATAAATGGTAGGTACAAAATAGACAGGGAGAGATTAAAAATAGTATAGGAAAGGAGAAGCCAAATAATTTCTATGTATGATGCATGGACATGAACTAAGATGGGGGAAAGCTGGTGGGGAGGTACAGGGTGGAGGGGAATAAAGGAGAGAAAAAAAATGGTATAATTGTAACAGCATAATCAGTAAAACATACTTTGGAAAACAAAAAAAAATGAGAAGATATTTATTCTCCTGAAAATCCCTCCCCCACCCCCCAAATGGAGAAACCATTGTGTGGCTGTTGTACAATCTAGAGAGAGAGAGTAGAGATAGCAAAGAAGGAATTTTCTTTTTAATGCTTAGGAGGTAAAATTAACTGGACTTGGTGACAGGTAATTTTGTAATGAGCAAAACTACAAACTTGGGTTAGTCCCTGACTTCTTTTTCACTTCATTCTACTCCAAATCTGATCTGATCATTGTCTCAGGTCGGCAAGGGAGAAGAGCAGATTTTCAGAAGAAGATAATCTCCATTGAGTCAAATGCCCATCATATCTAAGTCTCAAATAAACAGTTACAGGAACTT